TCCAGTATCCATTCCTCCATTGCCACCTCCATTGCCTCGTTTTTCTGTCTTGTTTGGAGTTCCAATCTTCTTACCTTATTCCATTTTCTTCTCTCTCTTCTTTCTCTACGTTCCTCCTCCCACTCCTCTGGTTGAAGTTTCCTTGGGTATTCGTCTGGTTCACTCTGGCCTCCTATCGCCTGTCGTCCTCCATCTGTCTGTTCATCGTACTAACTTGCTCGGTTCTTTTCTACCTGTGAATTTGAGGATTCGATGCTGCCCAAAAAAGGTTGTCTTATATGTGTACTTGCATTTGTGATCCCAATCACAGATGTTACGTGATTGCAATGTCGTAAATGACGAGAAAGGGAGCGTAGATTACGGAGTCAGGCCCCGTAATTCACGATATGGGTACCTGTAATTTACGTTTACAAATTCGTAATGTACGAGATCAGAAATGCCGCAAATTACGTTCTAAATCCCGTATTCTAAGTATAGTGTTTTCTATGTGTACCGATGAAAAATTCCCTTTCTCTCGGTATTAATGATAATTATGAATATACTAGGATCGAGTATAAAATATACTTGATTCAAATATTCATTTTTTATCCGTAAACGTACACTGAGAAAAAAATCCCAGAAAAATTACTGTGCTCGGCACGCGAATCGCAGTGCAAAATGTTTTATTCGGAAAATTTATCGATGATGCTAAGAATAATACCTAAGTACACCATGCTTATTTACAGGAAGTTGCCTGTCCTATGCAGAACAGTAAAAATTCTAAGGCTAAGAGGCATTACTGCGAACGCAAAGAAAAAATGATTAACATAATATGATCCAATACTGTGAAAATTGCCACACGCCTCTTTGCTGCTGCGAGATTTTTACTGTGCTCTCTATGAATTTCTCAGGACATCCCTCTGGTTTGGGATGAAACAATTGCCGATTACTTCCACGGATTACTTCCGGACGTTGTCAAACGTTTTACTTGGGCTGAAGTGCTTAAGATATACCGCCAAACCTCTTAGACTTTTACTTTTTACACACGTTTATTTAACTCTTTTGTGAAATAGAAAAGTGCAACTTTATAAGAAGAATCAATTAAAATTGGGTAAGTATTGAAATCAATTAGTTTTTAATGGACAAATTATAAGGTACAGATCCAATTGCATGATGTCGGTTGGGTTTTTTTTTATTTGATTTTCAGTTTGTTTCATATATATTGTGATCTTGGCCGGGAATTTAAAATATATTAATTCTCGGGGAAGGCACGATATATCCGGGAAAATCAAATTAGGGGCAAAAATCCAGTAATCTAAATAATTTAAGGGGGACCTGAAATAATAAGAGGGAGG